GAAAATATATATTTCAATGTCATATCTCATATACTAAGCCTCTTTATTTTTCTGAAATAGATATTTTACACAACTGCTATATGTTTTGTCATACACTTACTCTTGGTGAATCACACCACCTATAAGTGCGAGACATATCATAGTAACCAAGGTGTTACAGTTATCTTAGATCTTTATAATGTGTGGAGTCACCAAAATGCTCAGTGCCATTACTGTTTACATAGCCAACTATCATTACATCAGAGAATGTAATATGGATTAATGTAGTTTGTCCACATATGATAGATAGTTCTGTTGTTATGCATTGGGAACAGAAAGACCCCATTCACAATAATGGATAGTAACAGACAGCCATTTTGAGTAGGCCAGTGCCCAGTCCCCCGCGAGCCATGTTGACCCAGCGTGACTGCTTAAAGATTCCGTTGTATCACACACAGGAAATGTGAACTCACCCACATACATATGGAAATTTCCTTTCTCTTATCTCATTCATAAGTCTGTTATAGATGTTTGTGAATTATATGTTATGTATGCATCTGGTGTTCTTGCCACAGTGAAATATTATGAAGATCAGCAGAGTGCAAAATGAGAAAATCTTAACAGTTGCTCCTTGTGTAGGATTGAAGGTGAGGGAGGGATCGCTTTAGATATAGATTTAATGGGGATGTTGCGCTGATTTTTTAACGAATTTTCAAATAATTGAAAAAAATCTGTAATGTAATAGGCTTTGGCAATCCTATGACGTAATATTCCCGCTAAATATGTAAAAATATAGGAATTATGATTAAATCTCTGACCCCTTCCCCTCCCACTCCAATCACTGCTTTACTGTGTTTGTGCAAATACACTAGACAGAGTTGTTTTTTCGCAATTTTTAGAATTTCTTTTAGTATTCTCTTGTAGTTAGCTGGCAACTCTGTTTACTGTATCCACTGATAGCCATGACTAGGAGACAGCACTGGCAGTCACCACCTGAAAGTCTGAGGGAGAGGCTGCACATCACCTGCTTCCTCGATACCATCACATAGAAGCAACTTTGATGCACCCTCATCATACACTAAGAGGACACAACTAATGATAGATGTTATTCCTGTAACTTATAATCCTTATGATAAGAAATATATCTCACAATCACAGCTGCAGCAGTTGTTTATTCATATGAAATGCCTCACTAGGTACTGTAAAGGCACTGCGAAGCCTGTGATGACAAGGCTGCTCTTTGACAACCATGGGCAGTTAGGGCAATTAGTACCTTGCTAAAGGGGGGGACCAGGTACTAGCTACATTTCAAAGTACCATGTGAATGCCATATCATGCATCAAGATGACAGAGATAAAAAAAAAAAAAAAAAAAAAAAAAAAAAAAAAAAAAAAAACTAGCAAAAAGTATCCTCTACTCAAAAGCCCGATATCTCGAAACTACACCTTTGTCATCATCAATTAATTCATTTCTCCATAACTACTCGGGCAATTCTAATGGATCATTTGGAAGCTAAATAAATTGGCAATTTTTTGTACAAACAGATTTTCATTTTAGATGAAAGAAGTCTATATATTATATATAGAGTTAAACACCAAGACACGTGAGTCATCACTGGCGATACCTGTCCGACTTGAGAACGGTTATATTTTTTACCAGTATTACATATTGCAAAACCCCAGTAGGGCAACAATAATAGGTAAATAATAGATAATTATACCACATACAATAATTTCATACATGATTTCATAACTAAAATGTAAAATAATCGAAAAGGAAAAAGATCGCAATGTTTGGGTCCTACAAATTTTTACGCATAGCACACACATTTTCAGTTTGATTTTGACGTATCATGGCTCGTTTTGTAGCTGAATAGTAGCTCTATTACATGCTGCAATAAGGATTTGCAATATTTTCATGTGCGTCTTATAAAAGTGACATAGTTTCAAGATCCCTTTATAGGGTGTTGAGATAGTGGGCTTCGTAAAATATTCAGCCCCCCCCCCCCCAAAAATAAGGGTGACTTCTCAAAAACTTACTTGCAGAATGCAGGTAGATGATAGAGGATTATGGTGTAGGAAGACTAATCTTATACCTTGTTTAGTCAATACCAAAATAATCATGAAAAGATGAGAAAAACTGAAAATGTTGATATCTCGAAACTCCACCCTTAGGGGTGGGTCAAAGGATTCCGGGTGCTAGCTATGTCCAGCATTAACATATTATGGCTCATTTTGTAGAAAAATAAAATATCTATAACTTGTTCATTGTGAATTTTGCAATTTTTGCCTGTGCTACTTGTGAAATACAAGAAAATTTTTACTTTTTGATTTTTATAAGGTCCCCTACTTCAAAATTTCACAAAAAAGTCAAAACCGAGAGATCTACAATGAAGAAGTTGTAGATATAGGATAGTTCTAATAAAAGATCAAATAAAATCAAATGTCTTATCGCTTTTGAAGACGGAATCCTTTTACCCAGGTGCTGCATAATTTTTTTTTTTTTTTTTGACAATAATTCA